AATGTTTTCCTTTTGCTTCCTGTTTCTAACACCCTGTGATTGTTCCCTTACTTGTCCATTTAGACATTTGTTTTATATTTCAAACTATTTTAAACTTAACTTCCTTATCTTAAAAAAAGGTTTTAAATATTTCCCTGACAAAGCAGTATTTTACGTACTTCTCCTATTTAAATTAGATTTTGAGTTATAAACATTCACATTGAAGATCAAAACTTGTTCTTCCATATGTTTGTTTTGGTCCTGTTTATTTTCTTAAAGTAATAATAAAAAGAATGCAAGTATCAAATCATAATGAAGGAAGCTATTAATCTTCCAAAAAAAAATTATTAAAAATGTATTGCTTTATTCAATAGGGTCGACTTAAAACTACCGGTAGTTTTCAATGATTATATTGAAGGATGCATCCATTAATTCAGTAGGAGTATTATGGTCAATATCATAAACAAGGCACATTTAATCTTGGTGTAAAAGAAATGAATTTTAAATACATTCAGTAATGAAACAGGATGAGTGTATTCCCACTTAATCATTCTTATGTTATTTCTGGGTAGAAAAAAAAATGTAAAACGGTATAAATTGAACATGTTAATAAATCAATTAATTCAAATTTAATGGTTGTTGAATCTGATTCTGCAAGGAAATTAAAGTATCCTAGCAGAAAAAAATTGAGGGCCGTTCAAAAATTACGGGGATTTGTTGCACAGAAAAAATTATTTGAGGACGTAATCAAGCAAAAAGTCAAGAATCTTATAAACTATTTTACATACTTATATGGTTATCAAAATTTCATTTCAGAATTTTGTAAATTGATATGAAGTTTAGGTGATTTAACGGGTCATATCGTGAACTTAAAATGCAGCAGATTCTTCAAATTCACAATAAATCAAAAATGTGACCTTTCAGTTTCTCAACATTTCCCTTTGCACATGAATTTTTTGATATTGTAATTATGGATTAATAGCGTATCAAACTCTCCGCATTAACTTCCATGTACCAATTTTGTCCAGCTTAGAAATTGTCAAACAACCATGCTCTGGTTTGTGTTAAACCCCAAGCTGCAAATATTTCTAAGTATAATTTGTTGTCGGTTAACATCACATACTAACATTCTTAAAGTTCATAAATCCTCTGATCACTCATTTGAAATGTTGCTCGAACCCTAATGATTTAAACAAAAACAACTTATTTTATAAGTAAAATACAAATAATTATAGCATAGGAGTGATGCAAAATTGGGCTAAAAAGACACTTGAACTTATACTTTCATGACATTATGAGTTATTTCAGAGTTTCGCTGAACCTTAGAAAGTTTTTGTCGATTATCGTCCTCCTGTTCTTTCCAGGAATGCCTTTTAATTCACGTCTTATTTTCTTAAAACTTTCTATTTACTTTTTAAAGTGATGTCGGAATACTTGTGGTTACATAAGTTTCATTTATCATGCTTTGAATCTATTTTGGCGTCACAGGTGTGCTACTGAATCACTTGACAAGTCATTTTTTGTAGGTGATTTGAAAGGGATCACATTGAAGAAAAATTACAATATATTTTGATTTTACTTCAAATATTACGTCTGGAATATAGACATACACTGATGCAACTACATATAAAACTTTATTGCGAAACAGTTCAATTCCACTGCGAAATTTAAAAAAAATGAAATGTTTAAAAAATCAAGTTGTTTTAAAAGGTTTGTCACGATTCGCACAATATGATTAATAATATAAAAACAGCGATAATTTTAGTAGACATTGAAAAAAAAAATGAATACATTTATCCATAATTTACGTAATCTTTAAGAAATATGGTTTAGTGAAATTTCAATTTCAAATGTTTTACAGAGTAAATGACGACACAGTATGCGTGATTAAGTCCCCAGTTCCTATTGTCAGATAAAATTGATATGATAAATTTAAAGAACATCTGTTTAAGTCTCTTTAAGTTTTATAATACTCTCCAAGAACAGTGTGTACCAAAATTATGATATTTGTGTTTTTTTGTCTAGGTTGATTGGCCCTAGTTCTAACTAACGATAACGTAAGAAATATACACTCATTTAGATCTCCGTGTTATGTCAAAGATGATGTTTACTATGTGTTTTATTTGATAAAAAAGGAATCCTTTGATCTGCAATGTGTTTGATTAATGTTTGTCCAACATCAATGAAAAATATTATGAATGTGATGGGGTGATTTTTACAATAGAGTTATCTCTCTTTGTTTTCATACAATGTTTGTCATTGAGGGTAATTTCCGCACCTATTTTTAGTAACAGAAATTCTGTTCAGCTAAAGTATTTAAGATTTTCATTTAAAATAATTTTTGTCATTGTCATCTTTCAAATAATGATGGAAAATACACAGAAGTTTTTATTTAAATATATTGTTTAATAGTTTGATAATTTCAACATCACTTCCTGTGATCACGTGACTTCATAGTTTGTGATTTTGCACAAAATATTTAGCGCTATGAATGCTGTGTTCAACACATTGTTGAAGCTGAATTATCTCTAGCTAGGTGTACCAACTGTAAGTTTACATTTTTTTTAAATATAGCTTTGCTCATAATAGTAAAGTATGTTTTGGTAGGGTTATTTTAATATTTGTAAAGTCTGAAAATATTTATTTTAATAGAATGAGTTCAGCATGTTTTGTTGATAAACGTTCCATATCATATTGGCTATTCATTTTATTTCTAGTGCTGTTTAATAGACTTTTGTAATGAAGAAGTTTAAATTTATTTTACGAGATATACTTTTGTTATTGTTTACAACTACAACTAGAGGTAACATAGGTATATTGAATTTTGGTAAGGTTATACAGTATTACTGTGGTCGACGGTGACCTTGACCTTAACTTTATGCATTGAGGCCCTAGTTGGGGTAAGATTTATATGAAAGCATGTTATATATTTATTATGAGTGTAATATGTTATAAATCTTTATAATGGAAAGGTCAACTGTCTGTCATATTTTGTAAAATTATTTTTATTCATTTTTTTAGTAATGCTTCATAATATTCATGTGAATTTACATTTGTAAGTAATGTCATGTTTTTCTTAATTTTCATTTGTACAGCACACTGTCATTACTGCCAATATCATTACCATTATCATAATTTGTAAGATCATTGATATTCATAATTAATAAACTTATAAAAAGAACAAATCTGGTTATCACATGAAATTTAAAAACCACTAAAAGATCTTTTTGTATACATCAGTAGAAAAAGATATACAATGTAGTCATAAAATAGCTTATTGGAACAAAAGGATTCCTTCCCCCAAAATAGGTGTAATCAGTAACGTCAATATTTTATATCTGATTAAATGGATAATATGAGGAATGGGGGATGAGGAGGAGAGCCATTCTGCCATTTTGGACTTTGTACATATAACTCTCTGTATAAACTGCTTTAAAAGCATAAATAAGCCGGTATATGTATACACTGTAAATTTTTCTTTTGTACATCACCTAATGTCACAAGAAAGATAACTTTGATTTTATATATTTTTTACTATGGAGATTTTCATCACCATAAACACTCATCGAATTTAAAGAAGAACCTTTAAGATATCAAGTATTGTAAATTTATTTCTGGTCAATTAATTTTATTTAATATTTTTCACTATTAATATCGTTTCTTTTTTTTGCGACATTTTGAATCATTATTTGAAAAAAAATTATTCACATAAAAGACAAGTGCACTTAAGCAATACTTAATGGACCTTTTTAAAGTGTCATTTTACTTAAGAATATATTAGCAAATCATTCTCAATTTGTAATATACAAAGCATTTTGTGGACGGATTTCATGGGAAAACTTATCAAAAGACAAAATGCATAACTTCAACAGTAAACCACTAAAATACACAAAAAAATCTAAATCCGAAGATATTCATATCAAATTCGCAAAACGTTTCAAAGATGAACTGTGAATATGAACTATCTGAATAATATCTTTGTTTAAATCTATATTTCTACATAAAAAAAGCACAAAGCTCACGTCAAATGATCTTAAAGTCCCAATGTGACACATCTTTACATGGTTTGTTGCAAACGATTGTATAAGAAATCAAAAGAATTGTCAAAAATATACGTTTAACGTTTTAAAGATTTGACAAAATGAAGTGCCCTGGATAGTATTTAAAATATGCATTTTTGTAATGCCAGAAAAACAAAGGTTTTGTCAATCGGATCTTTTTTTATCGGCCATGTCAACGTCACCTGACCTTTACCGATAGCCAGAGATTCCACGTGGAATGATGGATTTAGAGCATGCAGAGGTAAAAATTCATATTAAAATGATTTTTTTCCTGAATTATTTTAATTAAAGAAAAGTATGTGTATGATGTGTTGCATACAGATGTATGGCGACCTGAATTTAACATGATTCTCTAAAATAAACTCCATATATGAAGTTGGGGCTCCATGAAGGGACGAGAAAAGCCGACATATCCACGGGAAAAGAATGTGGAATGGAGTGTACATGCAAATTTGTTCCTTATATAAGTTTGTTTTAACGAGTATATATATCTCAGTTGATTCGATACGCAAGAGCGTGCTCTACGTATGAGCAATTTCTTAAAGGAGGTAAATTATTGACAAGCAAGTTGATGAAACAAGAATATCAACAGTCTCGTATAAAGTCATCAATTCGTAAATTCTATTGGTGATACAATGACCTTGTCAGCAAATACAATTTATCATTGAGTCAAATGCTGACTGACGTTTTTCATACCAATTGTTAGTCCATTATTTATACACTGAATTGACGACGGATTTTTCCCGTTATTTCCTGATCATGACAACGAGCGCACGGCGGGTGTGACCGGTCGGAAGGGGATGCTCACTCCTCAATGGCACCTGATCCCACCTCTGATGTTTCAGACGTCCGTGTTTGCTCTACTCTTATTTTGAATATTGTTTAATGGACGTTTAGATTGAATATTGTTCGTTATCTCCATATCCTTCTTTTAGAGTACCGACAGTGAAAAATCTGAAGAGGCGCAAATGCAAAGAAGAGGACGTGGAAGGCCAAGAAAACTCCGAGAGGGTAGAGGACGACCCAGATCACAGCCTCGTGCACCAATTAGGCAAAGAAGTAGACGTAGACAGCCGCCTGTGGACGAGGCAGTGATTGCACAGGAGGAGAGAAGGAGAGACATTGAGGTACACAAGTCTATTTTTCAACGACGATTTACCAGAACAGTGTACATATAAAAGAAAATATCAAATGAAAATATAGTATTATACTACATCAACAAGTCCAGTAGTTTTCAGTAGACCCAAATTAACAAGTCTTTAGAGTTATTTCCCTTCGGTCGCCATATTGTGGGTCAACATGCTCATATTCCTTCATAATTCAACCAACTTTAACTTTTTATACTGGCTGTTATGGGCTGGGAAGCATATTGTTTTTCTGACAATTATACATTTGTTAGAGCCTCCTTTATTTCATAATGTTTATTCCATAACAATTTTCCCTCAAATATTTCTGCTACGCCCTTTTATATTTGGTAGGACAAAGAGGGAAAATTACCTGGTTGGCCAACAAGATGGCAGCCAACGGGAAATAAATCTTGTTAATATGGGTCTACTGAAAACTATCTATTGTGTATCGCCCGTACATCTCTGTATACTTCTAAATTTTCAACTTTTCAGGAACCACAAGTAAAATTTAAACCAAATTGCACCTTTTTTGCATTACAGGATCTGTAGCGTTATGGTCAAATACAAATATATAAAAATCATAACACTATAGATCAACAGCTGAGCTAAATCAAGAGATTGTATTGGATCTTAACCTTATCAATATTTATTTTATCCAGAGAAGAGTAAATGCCCTTTCCTCTAATGAGTTGAGAGTTACCCTCATGACGGTTGTGCAAGAAAACCTGGAGTATCTTTTCAACATTCTGAGAGAACCACATCTACGCAGCACAGTTAAGGTTACAAAAAGGAGGCGGAGCCTAATTTGTACGGGAAAACTTAACTATGACATCATACACAATATACGTCATGCAACATTTCTATAAAATACCACATAATTAGTTTATCTGCTAATTTAACCAGTAAGAAATCACCAAACTACATAAAAACTTACTACATCGTGTTGTTTTGTCGTTAGTTAAATCCCACATAACAAGTTATAAACAAGTTACTGATCGCAATACACTTGTCAATATTACGTCATTTCTTACAACGTGACGTAGTTTGTATGCAGTGAGAGACAGATCAAGTAATATTTTCTCAACAAAATATGTATTCTCTAATTAAATAGAATATTATTTACAGATATTCTATGGGCCAATAACTTGAATTTAATGTCTTCTTCACTATTTTATTAATATATTTTCTGTACATTACGTATTTAATTGACACTGCCCTATATTTGTATGCAAGTTCATCGGAGGGTAATGTGAGGGGTCTTAATAAATCGATCTAGTGCAAGGGCATACACTCTATGGATCAAAGTAAGCTTTTACATTTCAACTATAGAACTATTAAGGTATCTGAAAAGTGCTGCGATCCTGATGAAATCTTAAAAACAATTTAATTATATCAATATTTCATGCCGCTGACCAGCAAAAAATATAGCATTCGGTCATACAAGTATAATTTTAACAATGAAATTGCAGAATTTAGACAGGATCGCAGCACTTTTTAGAAACTACAATGCGTGTTGAAAATATTTATATACTAAACTTGGAAATTAAATTTGGTTATGCCCTTGCACTAGTGATATTTATATGTATCATCAATACTTCAAGTCAATGTGCTGAAATCGCGTGACTGCCGCATCACGTGACTAGTCTAAATATAAAATATAATCGTCCTCGATAAGTAGTTATAAATCATAATTACAATTATCCGATATAAATAATGTACTAAAAATAATCGCCATCCCGATTACGAATACATTTTAAAATACAAAATTTAGTCGATATTTCCATTGCGCACCTTAACTGTACTGCGTACCTGGAGAATCTGGACCATCACAACCACTTTGGTGTGTGTGCACATTTTGTAAAGAAATGCCTACCCAGAAAGAGCAACTGTGTTGTCAAAAAAGTGAAGACAGTTGCATTTCCAGACTTCCTGTAAGTTAATTAATGAATTATTAAAAAATAATGAAGTATTGGGTCTCATTTAAACCCACTGTGTATTGGCATTTGTAGCTTACCTGAGCTGAAAGCTCAAGTGAGCCTTTCTGATCACCTATTGTGTATTGCACATACATCTTTGTATACTTTTAAATTTTTACTTTTTTAAGAAACACAAGTAAAATTTATACCGAATTTGTATGAAATTAGTACATAGCATCAGTTAAAACATTAATATTAAGGATAGAGTCACTTCACAAAGGAAGATAATCAAGAAAAGACCAAAAATAAAGTGGAATCATTAAAAATCTTAGCAAGAAGAGCTAAAATATGCAAGGAATCATCATGGATAGAGTAGAATCTAAATTAGAAATCATGGTCCTTGGGGAAAGGTGGAACCACAATAGAAATTTATATAAATTTCTAAATTGAAATGTATTAGAAAAATCTTATAGAAAATGGACAAAAACTTGACCAAAAAAAAACCCTGAAATTTATGTGGAAGCATCCTGAGTTAGTTTACTGTAGATCTAAGATTCAAGATTGTTCAAATCCTGACTCCACAGGGAGGTTGGGGCAACAATAAGTATGACAGAGGGTAAATGTGGTGAAGAGCAGCAGAACAATGCTACTCAGGTGAGCATTGTGGGCAATGGGCCTCTTCAATGTTTTGCAATTTTTATTCTTCAGGATTTTGATGTTCTGATGTTGGATGAGGCTGTCCTTTCTTTGGCAAGAATATATAGACAGGATATATTGGCCATGCCGGAGGATGAGGACAGAAACCGAGCCAACAGGTACACTGCATATAGACAATTTGTTCTTTGGCATCATGGAAAACTTAGCATCGGGGACAGAAGAGTTATTCCTAGCTGCTGTGTTTGTCGAATCAGGGAGAAGTTCCCTGATCCTTATGGACAGTATGAAGGGTTTAAAGATGGCCTATTACAATAAATTCCCATAGAATCTGTGGTTTTGTTAGTATGTACGATATAAACTGAAAGTATTAGATAATGTGTCATTAAAAAATATTTAAACATTTATTAGAAGATATATAAAAACGATGGTTTTCAAGATTGCAACATTAATAAAATACTATAGAAAGGATTTGAGTGGTTATGTGTTTCACTTGCTATGGCCATATGGCCATCCTTGGAAGAGGAAATCTGTCTTCTGTGAAAACAGACTTATAGTGTAAGGAGGACAATATCTCATTTTTATAAGTTTTCTTCTTAAGTTTAGGGGATGTACGTTTCAAAATATGACCAAAATAGACCCATTGTGGGGCCTGTTACTTGTATTAGTGGACAAATGTATGAGGCTAGCTTCACTGTATTTAAATCATTCAAACAATTTGCCTGCAGTTATTGAGAACAAGATATGTAAATGGTTTTCAATATATATGACAAACTCTGAAGTCTAGGTACATGAATTTCAAAATTTTATTAAAGGCTCATGATTTTAATTGTGCTAATTTTGAATTTATGCAGATTATAAAAATTGCTTCAATTTTGATGGTTATGGTTTCAGTAGAACAATTTATGTTTCCCTTATATAAAATTCTTGAGAGGGACTTTAAACAATATACAGTCAAAGGTAAATGTCAATGTTGCATCTTCTCCAAAGCAAATATATTCTTTATCATGATTTTAAGAAATATTTTACAATCGAAAAGGGTTAAGATATAAAAACAAGAACACAATTTATATGTTTTACGACTTTATATTTTGGCTCTGGAATGTATTACTAACAACATCATGAGCATTGAAATATCAAATTAGGATCATATTAGAAGAATTGCAAAATGTCATTTGCAAGCACAGACAGTTCCATCAATACTGTGGTGTATGCCACACAATAGAATCTATATGTACCAAATTGTAAAAATAATTTCCACATCATTTATTCTACAATAATGATAACTGAATAAAAATATGCTTACATGTAGATTGGCCTATTATTACATTCATTTTAAAACTTCAAAACTCGAGAAAACTTTTAAAACTTGGAAATTTATAAACTAGAGGTGTATAAAACCACGATGCTCACCTGAGTTACAGGCTATGAACCCCCTTTAAAACTTTGCACAGACTATTGCTTCCCCACCTTACCCAGGATTCGTGATTTAAACAAACTTTAATAATCAATACTACCAAATTAAACTTCTATATCATTATGAGTAATCATGTCTTTGCTGATCTTGAGAAGTTTTTCAAAATATTTTCCCTACATATTCCAAAATAAAACTTCAATCCCCTAATTCTTTTTGGCCCAGTAGTTCTTGAGAAGATTTTTGAAAAATACCTAATTTTTTAAAACTTATTCTTAATTTACTCCCCTTGAAAGACAGCTGATGGATAGACTGAGGATGAAAAAAATGTTGATCAGAAAAGCTCAAATAAGTTTTCAGCTTCAATGAGGTAAAAAAAAAAAACTTCATGTGACTGGACATATTGTTGCATATATTGAAACAATTACACAGTAGATTTAAAAAAAAAAAAACAACTAGCAATGATGAATTCAAATTTAACAAATTCAAAGACTTCAGATGAATGTTAGTCCTTTGCCACAAAACGAGAAACTTTCGCCTTTAGTAATACTGCGGTTGGCTTTGGATCTATTGAAGCAATGGTTTTGCTTTGACGCCGTGGGTCATGAATGTCAAGCACTACTGGGTGACACATCCCCTCCTGATCGTTCAGCTTAGCCACTGCTATTCGATTCATTAGACGCTCAACATGATTATAACTTTTTTCAACCTTTACCGGCATGACACTCCAACGGCTACTTTTTTGTTAAAAGTTCTGTGTTGCCTATTAGTTAAAAAAAACAATATGCCAGTATTCCATATAGTAAATCAAGAACATTTAATGTTTAACTGAAATTTATGACAAAGGTTAAAATTTTTGAAAAGTAGGTCAAACTTGGTCATGAGGTAAAGAAAATCATAGTGTATTTAGAAAGGTCTTGTTACAGGTAATTTACATGTATAATATGAAAACTATATCTCTTCTCATTCAAAAGATATGACAAAGGTTAGAGTTTTTGTGACAGACAGACAGATGAATGAGATTTAATGTCCCCTTGCTTTCGCAAAAGCGGGGGACAATAAACATACCCTGTATTTCTTTTGAAACAAGATGTGTTACTGTAATAGGAATGTCACCGTTGACATACAAGTTTTAAAAATAGATTGTACATGAAAGCCCAATGCCAATCAACTAGTATGAAAACAAGTGTTTGTTATGCCCCCCCCCCCCCAGTCCCCACCAAATGATTAGATTTTTTAGAAGTGGATTTATTAAAATATTTACTGAATTGTGCCATCAGAATTTCTTTTGACTTCTCTGTCCACATTTGCGTCATAGTCCAATGCTGCCAACTGGCTTCTAGCTTGATAAACAGGAGGCGAAAAGGCAAATTGTTTACCATTGTACATAAGTATCAAATTGTTGAAGTTTTCTAACTCTGCTGTGCTCCTGAAATGCATATCAAGTTATCAGAATAAAAAATACCACATTCCTCTGACACAAACGTAGAGTATAAATCAGTATAAAATAAGAAAAGGAAAGAAAACCCGAAATTCACATAGTTATTTGGCCCATAAAACGCTTATTAAACACAATTTGGATGAGAGCTTTGTGGGCAGCACTGCTTTTCTTTAGCCAATTGTTGTGCTCATCCTCTATAGGACCATGCATGCATCTGTTGGCACCAAAGAAATTGCTGGAATAAGACATACTCCATTCATGCTCATTTAGGACGTGGTAAACAACTCCACACCATACCTCCTGTGGTATAAACAAGATCATGCAATTAGGATGTGTTAATATTTTTACAGAATACTGATTCTTTGTTAAGCTTTTATAAATAAATAAAAAATGAGCACATTTATATGTGACAATTAAATTACATATGATTTCCAATATACTTGGTATGTTTATGTACAAGATATACTGTACTAATCATGAAGCTGTCCCTATCTGTGGCATGGGAGCATGAATACCAAAAGTGG